AAAAAAAAAAAAAAAAAAAAAAGCGTGAGAAGTAATTTTATCGTAATCTTTGCCTGGCATGCATTTGATTTTAGCCAAAGGAGTTTTTTGTTTCTTTTTAACATTTGTGTGGTATTGGAGGTAGATCCCAGGAGCTCATTCACTCTAGGTAAGCAGTCTACCACCCCCACACCTTATACCTCTGGCTCTGGATTTTTAAGTGCTTAGAGTGAATTGTTGGCTATGCCTAGGAGGTATGCATCTCCCCAAGCATCATGTGTTTGTTCAGCATAGGTAAAATCTGAGTGATATGTACTCATTGGAAAGAATTTTAAAAAGCAGCCTAAGCCAGGAGTGGTGGCCCTTGCCTGCAATTCCAGCACTCAGGAGGCTGAGGCAGGAGGATTACCGAGTTCTAGGCCAGGCTGGGCTACATAGTAAGAACCTACCTAAAAAAAACAAAAACAAAGAAATAAAAAAGAAGCAGTCTTGCTTCAAAAAGAAGACAGAACTGCAAGTGTAGGTGCAACTCACTGGCAGAGCACATGCTTCGTGTGCGCCAGGCCCTGGGTTCTGCCCCAGTCCTAGGCTGAGGTGGAGGTAGAGGGTGCAACATTCTTCACCTTGGAGCTGCTCACAGATTTCCTCACCTACTTTCTTACAGATTTGGGTTGGAGGCTGTATTATTTCCCTGACTTGCTTAATTGGTTAGGAACAGAGTCATAAGTGCTCCCCATTACAAATGACTAGAAACACCTACTTGGCTTAGAGCATGTTTTTATATTTTTATTTGGATATAAGTGATACCCTTACTTAGAACTTTACTGCAGTTGGAAGAACAGAAAAGCCGTGTTGATTTCTCATCTTCTTTTTCTCTAGAGCATTCATTCTAGTGACAGCTTCCTTATCAGATTGGTGTAAGCATCAGCCTTGTAAAATCTTCCGGGTATCAGGGTGTCAGTGTAGGTAGCGTTCAAAGTTAGACAAGGTGATGAAGCTGCACATAAAGTTTAGAAGAACAGAAGGAAGGCCACAGTGTCCTGGAAGCCACTAACTTGTCAGAGTAGTTGTCCTCTGCTGGTAGGTTTGAAATGGGCTTTATTCTGAATATAGCATGAGTGAGGCTGATTGCTGAAAGATAAAGAGTTGCTCAGAATATTTTAGCCATTGCTTCTTTTCATTACTAGGGAGTCCTTTTTAACATCTTTATTTTGAAATCACACTTTTTTTTGGTACCAGGGATCAAACTCGGTACTTTGCAATTGTGAGGCAGGCACCACTGAGCTAAATTCCCAGCCCTTAACAGCTTTATTTTGAAAGTTAAGCTTGCTTTCTACTTTGTGAAATTGTTACTCATACTTTGCATGCATGGATACATGTATGTAATAATTAACCATGCCAAAATGCAGTTTGATAGTTTAATTTATATTCTGTATGTTTTTTATTTGTTGTCAAATTTATGTGACTTTTTAACTTGCTATTTTAATACTGTTTATTGTTTCACTTTCTAAGTGCTCCTTGTAGAACCTAATGTTTGTTTTTCTGTTTATTTCCCCTCATTTTGCTCAGTTTTTAAAAGTTTAGTGGTGATAATTTACTTTGAAAAAAGATTTTATAGAGAGGTAACTCTTTTGTATGCCTTTTCTAGGAGGGCATTTCTTGTATGCTGGGCGTGGTGGCACACACCAGAAATCCCAGCACTCAGGAGGCTGAGGCAGGAGAATCGCTGTGAGTTTGAGGCCAGCTTGGGCTACATAGTGGGTTCAAGGCCAGCCTGAACCACACAGCGAGACCCTGTGTCAAAAAAATCAAAAGAATAAAAATAAATAAATAACTGCAGTTGTGCTATATTTTAAATTTGTTGCAATATACTTAATTTATCTTATTGCTTTTGAATTAGAACAATTTCAAAACTTGAAGCTCAAGTGAAGCAAGTGGAGCATGAAAATATGTTAAGTCTGCATCATAATTCTACAACTCACTTGAGACCCTCACCTGCCAAGTAAGTTATTTCATTTAATCTCTATAAAGCTAGAAGTTAAGTGCACACTCTAAAGGGAGGAGCTCTTTTGTTTAAATTGTTAGAAATTCAGAGTTAAGTATCCTTACAGAATTTAGATTATATAAAAAAATTACTGATCCTTGTACGCGCCTGTACAGCTACTAGGGAGACTAAGACAGGAGGATCACAAATTTGAGGCCCCTCTCCTATAAGCAAGGCACTGATTTGGTAATTAGAAATGCCTTCTGTGGATCGGTTAAAATAAAAATAACCTGGATCCATTTAAAAAACAAACAAACAAACACCAAATTTGAGGCTAGTCTGGGCAACTTCGTGATATTCTGAGTCAGAATAAAAAATAAAAAAGGGGGCCAGGGATTTAGCTTAGTGCCTGCCTCACAAGAGCAAGGACCTGAGTTCAATCGCTGATACCAAAAAAACTGAAAAATAAAAAGGCCCACAGATGCTGTTCAGTGGTAGAATATTAGGCCCTAGTTCAATCCTTGTACTGGAAGAAAAAAATTGCTACAGAGGCATTTGCATAAATGAAGAGAGCAGAATCAAGTTGAGAATGAGGAAATTTGGAATGTGTTTTGTCCTTGATTCTGCCTGGCTGTGTGACCTTAGACAAATTCATTTACATTTTTTTGGAACTCAGATTTATTATCTCTAAAACCAGCCATCAGTAAACATACATACAGGGGCTGGGGATATAGCTCAGTGGTTCAGTGGCCTCCCTTGCAAGCACAAGGACCTGAGTTCAATCCCTGGTACCAAAAAAAAAAAAACCAAAAAAACAATAAACATACATAATAGATACCAGCCAAGTTCAGCTGGGGCAGTGGAGGCGGGAAGTGGGGGCACTGCAGCATGTCGGGCTTGGGTGAGAGGGTAAGGGAGTCATGAGTATGGCCTTGAGGCAGATAAAGAGGGAGCAGTGAAGCCCGCAGGGGCTGGTGATGAGGAAGGGACTGTACTGGCGGCCGGCCCCTGTGGTGGTGCTTGAGCTGCCAGCAAAGGAACAGAAGAGGAGATCTGGAGAACTGGTGTCTGGAGGGGCCATGATCTCTGGTGGTGGCGGGGCCAGCAATGTCCTTGAAGGTGGACAGCTGGGAAGCAGAGGCTGGCTGCTGCGCAGGAGTCCAGGACAGCTCCTGAAGGGCATCAGGCTTAGAGAGGACCAGCTGAGCAGAACTCGCCATCTGGGAAGGTGTGGCCCTCGGCCAGCAGGTTTCCTGAAACGTGGAGGACAGAACAGTCTAGAACGGCAAGGCTGATGGCTGCGTGTGATGATGAAAGGTGGCTCTCGAGTCTCCCTAGCCACTGTTCAGGCCTTCAGCAGCACCACATGACAGGTGGCTGCCATGTTGGACAGCACAGAGAGAGCACATTTCTGGTTTTGCACAAGATTGTATTGAAAGGTGCTGGTCTGAAGGAACAAAAAAGCAGCCCTGCTTCCTCTCCTTCCCCTGAGCTCTGTCCGGGGAGGGAAGAGTATGGAGGGTGCTGGGAGGCAGCTGAGGGTTGGGGAGAGCTGTGAGGACCAGGTCTTTTATTTTTACTTTTTTGAGGCAGGATCTCACTATGTAGTTCAGGCTGGCCTTGAACTTGTAGTCCTGCCTCAGCCTGCCGGATTACAGGTGTGTGCCATGGTGCCTGGCGAGCACTGGATCTTGACAGCAATTTGGGAATATTCAGAAGCAATGGAAACCAAAAATAACAGTTCAGTTCAGTCTTAAAACTGTGAAGTAGAATTTGTGTATCTAAAATATATAGATTACTGCATATGATTTTGAGTTACCGTGCAAATGTGTAAATACTGCCTGAAAGCAGGTCTAAATTGAAGTGCAAGACCAGAACATTTCTCATCCCAATAGCACACTAGCGACCTCAGATGTCAGCAGGAGGAAGTGGCTGACCCCGGGTGCGGAGTACTCCATCTTCACTGGCCAGCCGCTGAACACCCAGGACGGGAAGCCGGAGGGGCCGCTGGAGGGGCCCTGTGGCCCTGGGTAAGACAGCCACTGAGGGGCCTGGCTAGGAGTGCTCTGCTTTTTTAGTGGTTCAGGTGCCTTCAATGTTCAGGAAGATAGAAAAGGCCATGTCTCTTACTTCGTTTTGTGTTTTGCAGTGCTGGAGATAAACCCACAGTCTGGAGCAGGCTAGGCAAATTTTCTACCACATAGCCACATCCTCACCCAAGAGCTCTCTCTTTGGTTCTGTAAGGTCTTAATTTTGAGGACATTTTTTTTTTAATGGTGCTGGGGAATTGAACCTCGAGCCTTTGTGCTGAGGTGCATTCCACCTTCTACCCCCTTTTTAAAAATGTGTTTTATTTTGAGACGAGGTCTTGCTAAGGCTGGGTATGAACTTCTGATCCTCCTGCTTCAGCCTCCCAGAGAACTGGCATTGCTGTGCCAGCTAGGGTTTCTGTTTTAGTTTGAGACACTAATGTGCTTAAGATGTTTTACTTAGGTGGCTCTCAGAGAAGCCTCACCTGTGCTCAGGAACACAGTGTGGCCCGCAGTTAGGGTGACATGATGATCCTTTCCTGAGAGTCACCCAAGTCCCCATGAGTTACCTCAGACCTGTGCTCCAGTGTTCCATACAAATACAGTATTTCTGGCTGGGCAAGATGGTGTGTGTCTGTAGTCCTTGCACTGGAGAGGCTGAGGCAGGAGGATTGCCATGAGTGTGAAGCCAGCCTGAACTACATAGCAAGACCCTGTCTCAAGAAACTAAAACAAACAAATGTAAACAACAGGCCAACAAATATAATATGCTAGGATGTTAAAAGGACTGAGAAGCACTGGTTTCCTATCTGCGGCTTCAGTTTTAATTATTTGCCTTGTAAATCGTGCATATTCATTGTGGAATATTAATTGTCAACTCTCCTGTCAGTTCCCTAACAATCCTAGTAAACTGTGTGTCTTAGCTTGGTTGGCCGTAACAAATTACCATAGCCTGGGTGGTTCAACAACACTGTATTTCTCCAGTTGTAGAGTCTGCAAGGCAGGATCACTTTGCCTGCACCATCAGATTCTATTTTTTGTTTTGTTTTGTTTTTGGTACCGGGAATCAAACTCAGGACCTGAAATTTCAAGGTAGGTGTGGTGCCACTGAGCTAAATCCCCAGCTCAATTATCAGATTCTTTTTTGGTTTTTTGAGACAGGGTCTCACTACGTAGTTGAGACTGACCTGGAACTCACTATGTAGCCCAGGCTGGTCTCTGACTCAAAGTGATCCTCTTCCCTCAGCATCCTGAGTGCTGGGATTACAGGTGTGCACCACCATGCCCAGCTCATCAGATTCTTAAGATGAGCCTCTTTCTAAGTGTTCCCTAATGTGGCCTATCTTGGCATGTGGCAGAAAAAGTATGCTGATTTTTTGTTCTGTTTTCCTCTTTTTCTTGCTGTACTGTGAATGAAACTCAGGGGCACTTTATTACTGAGCTAACATCCCCAACCCCACTTTTTTTTTTCTGTACTGGGGTTCGAACTCAGGCCCCTGTGCTTGCAACACAAGCAGCAGAACCACTGAGCCAACCCCCAGCCCCCCACTTGTTTTTTTGAAACAGGATCTTGCTAAAGCTGCCCAGTCTAGCCTTGATTGAATTTTGTTCTTCCTGCCTCAGCCTCCTGAGTAGCTGAGACCACAGGTGCCCATCACCAAGATCAGCTTCCTTTTTCTTTCTTGGTATCAGGGATCAAATTCAGGACCTTTTGCTTGCTAGGCCGGCATGGTAGCACTGAGCTAAATCCCTGCCCTTCTTTTTTTGGAGGGGTATCAGGGATCGAACTTGGGTCCTTGTGCTTGTGAGGCAGGTGGCGGCACCACTGAGCTAAGTGCCCAGACCCCAGCCCTGCTTTTTTTATAAGGACATTAATTCCATGGTGGAGGCTTCATTGTCATGACCCTAATCCTTCCTGTTCACCCCCTAGTGCCTCCAAATGCCGTCACCCAAGATCAGGGCTTTCATTTTATGTTGGCAGGCAGAGCCCATATAGTCAGTAGCACTTACAATTACAATTTTTATTAAAGGTATCATTCTCCTCTGGAAAAGAATTCTTCCCCTGCAAGTTCACCAACATGCTTATTGATTAAAAAACAAAGAGAGACTTCAGACACACCAATCATGAAAGCTTTAAAAGAACTTGATGAAGAAAGACTATTTAAAAATTGGGGCACACAGACAGAGAAAGAGGATACCTCAAGCAGTAAGTATTTATTCCTTCTTTATATAAACAGAGAGGAATCTTCTCTCCTTCCGCACTTATATTGACTCCTAAAAATTAAATTCCTCAGATAATGTAATACAGTTTAATTTATGCTACTGCTGCGTTAGCCCATTTCATAGATAATTGAATCCCCTAGTTAATAATTTATCACAGTCTGCAGGGCATAGTGGCGCATGCCTGTAATCCCAGCACTTGGGAGGCTGAGGCAGGAGGATCGCTGTGAGTTTGAGACCAGCCTGGGCTACATAGTGAGTTCCAGGTCAGTCTCAACTACATAGTGAGACCCTGTCTCAAAGACCCCCCCCCAAAAAAAAAAATCACAGTCCTGGCATACATAACATGTACCTTTTATACAAAGCAAATTGCATATTACATTGATTATTACAACAGCTTCTGTGGTATTCTTAAGGATATTTGAAAAATGTTACATCAGTTTGTCCTTGTGACAGACTTCTGATGTTCGTAAAGTGAGGTGTTAACATTTCCTATTTTTCCTCTTTTTCTTGGTCTTTGAGCATCTGTGAAAAGGACAAGAGGGATCTGTGTACTGTGTTGCACATGTCCTAGAATCTCTGGCGTTTCAGCTGCACAGCACAGTCTCCTAGTAAATAAATTAGTAACCTGTTGCCTAAAAATAAACTCCTGACAAATCACCTTCAGTGCTTCAAATGTAAACAGGAAGCCGCTGTTAATTCATTATAAACTCCCACATTTTTCTTCGCATTTTTATCTTTATAATGTGCATTTGCAAATAATAACTGCAGGCTTGATGATGAGAAGAAATGCTTTGAGCCAGGTGTGGTCATGCATGCTTGCGATCCTAGCACTCTGGGAAGCTGAGGCAGGAGGATCACTGTGAGTTCAAGACCAGCCTGGGATACAAAATGGGTTCCAGGTCAGTCTCAACTACATAGTGAGACCCTGTCTCAAAAAAACCAAAAAAAAAAAAACCAAAACCCAAAACCACAAAACCCTGAGCAGACCCTTGTGTGGTGTGACATGTAATAAAGGCAAGCAACTGAAGCCAGATTTCTTTTTTTGGGGGGGAGGGTACCGGGGATTGAACTTGGGTCCTTGCGCTTGCAAGGCAGGCCAGTGAACTGCTGAGCTAAATCCCCGGCCCCGGATTTCTTTTGATTTGGGGTTTTTTGGGGGGGGGTGCCGGGGAACAAACTCTGGACCTTGCACTTGCGAGGCACCCCTGAGCTAAATCCCCAGCCCTGTTTTGATTTGTTTGGCATTTGTCTGTTACAGAATTAGTGCATCCTCGGCAAACTGAGTCCTCAGGCAACACAAGTCATTCCCCAGAGAAATGGGCCCAACAGAGACAAAAGAGACAGAATCCTGCCTCCCAGAGATCATCATCTTTGCCACCTTCCAATCGCAAGTCCAGCACTCCAAGTAAGAGTCCGCTGTGTCATCTCAGGCTGAGCAACGCGTGAGCCCTCATGCTGCCTCTGGTGGAGCAGCCTTGAGTGCGGCCTCCTACACAGTTTTTCTCATTCACTGAGGACAGCTGTCTGACTGTTGGATACTACAAACCTAAGACATCTCCATGAGCTAAAGCCAGATGTTTCTGCGTGTCTAGTAAATTGTTTGGAAGTAAAACCACTTCAGAATTTTTGAGAATAGCCAGCTACTAATTAGACATTAATCAGACAGTTCACGCTAGTCAGAAAAGAGAAGGTGTTTCTTACCTGTCTCACCCCAGCCACTCGGCATCAGCTGCCTTTTCTCTTCAGCCAAGTGCAGGTTTGTTTGAAAGCACAAGTGTTCGGTTTCTGTGCTTTCATTACCCGCTCTCACAGCAGCCTGGGAGTGTTTGCGAGAGCACTGTTGCTTCCTTCTAGCTTCCGGTCCACTTCTGAAATCCTGAAAAACCAGTTTTCAGTCAGTGCTGAAACTAGTCTGGTGTATAAAACACCAGCAGGTTTACCTGTAGCTTTATGGTGAAATTATGTTCCTTTTAAAATAAGGGGTGAGTTCTCTACTGCACAACTGTCCTCCAGTACAGCATATGATGCAGAGAAGGAAAAGAATATTTCCTCTGTTTTCTTCTCTAGCGAAAAGAGAGATAATGTTAACACCTGTGACGATGGCTTACAGTCCAAAGCGATCCCCTAAAGAGAATCTGTCCCCAGGATTTAGTCATCTACTTAGCAAAAATGAAAGCAGTCAAATTCGGTAAGTTCTCTAAAAATGCAGAATCTAATATATATTACTGACTTTTTAATTAGTGTTTAGAGTACATAATGCTCACACTCGTCATGGGAAACATGAACACACCTTAATTCTTGTCCCCTTCCTCTACTATATTATTGATTTTTTAATGTTGATTTCTGCATCTAGCTATCACTAATTTTTCAGATTATCAGTGGGAACTCTATATTTAAGTTATTTACATGAATATCATATGAAAAACAAAGTAGTGCAATATATGAAAACAGTTTTTAACTACGTAAACTTTCACTACTAGATTTTAAATACTGTCTCAGCACCTGTCCTGCTTTTGGATGTCGGATGGTGGTCCTGTGTTTTCTTGTAAAGGTTCACGACTGGGGAAACCTTGGAGTCATTTGTGCAGGACGCTGGGCGCATAGCTGTGGCATTGGCACCGCACAGGTCTTGCTGGCCCTGGAGAGCATGGTCCTCTGAAGGGACCTCATTGCTGTGGCGCGAGGGCCTTGCTCCTGGTTCTAGACCCCGTTCCCTCAAGCTCTTGGGGGCTCATGGCACAGTCTCCTTTCTGTAAAATGGGGGTACTGATACCTATCCTGCTTCTTAAAGGTGCAAGGACAACATGTAGGCACTTGATTTAATTCTCTAGTATGTGAATATGATGTAATTTTGTGTTAGAAAATAGACATTTCATTTTAGAAAATCATGACCAGCTTTCTTTTAAGAAAATATGTAAATATGTGAGCTAGCTGGATGCCAGTTCATCATACTAGTGAAGCTAGGGAAAATCAGTTAACACTTTTTCTCACAAGTAACTTGCTTCATTCACTAGATTTGATATACTTTTGGATGATTTAGATACTGTTCCTGTGTCCACATTGGAACGACCCAATCCAAGAAAGCAGCTGCAGTTTCTTCCTCTAAATGATTCAGAAGGTATATTTTCCTAAAAATTATTATTGTTCTTATTTTTGAGACAGGGTCTCCCTGTGTAGCCCAGGCTGGCCTTGAGTTAGAAGCTATTCTCCAGCCTCAACCTCCTGAGTGCTGGGATCACAGGTGTGCACCACCACCCATGTCCTAATTATGATAATAGTCCTTTTTTTTTGAGATTCTGGTATCTTTTCAAGGTCCTAGATATTATCTTAGAGCATTCTATGCTTAAATACTTTTCCACTCTGAAGCCTCTGAAGTGAGCATTTGCAATGCTTCTTGTTATGTCACTACTGTTACTCTCATTGAAAAGTTGGGAAACTGAGGCACGGACAACGTCAGTGTTTCATTACCAGAGCTATACTTTTTGGCTAGTCCCTTTCCTTTTAAGCTCTGTAATTTATAAGCAGCTTTGACTTTTGGGTAATCTTTTTTCTATTTGCATCAAATTTGGAGTAAAGTTGTAAGGTAATGTATGCAAATTACTTGGCTGGGCCCTCAACACGGTAACTTTAGTGTTGGTGTATGTCTCCTGCTTGTGATGAGTTTAGTCTTTAAACTTCTTTTTTCTTTTGATTCTTTTGCTTAAAGTTTAATTACATTTATATAAATTTTGCTTAAGGTCATTTAGGGAAGTTATGAAGGTTGTCAAACTTAAAGGCAAAGAATTCCTTGGAGAAAAGCACTGAATAAATATAGTTGATTATTTTATCTCTCTTCATTACTTTTTTGGGCCATATAATAGCTATTTCCAGAAAGTGAAATCGGATAGCATAAATATGTATATAAAAATATACATAAACATGTATATAAACATTCACACACAACACACACATAATAATATATATATAAAATCATCACCCATTGGGAAGGTTGATAAGACATTTCTTTCCTTTCTGACAGAAAAAAGTATTTCAGAAAAAGCCATCGACAGCTGTGCTAGTCATAGCTCTTCTCCTGAACCCTTGCCGAATGGAGTGAAAACAGTTTCTATGCGACCAGCCTCGGAGAAGAATACGTCAGTTAGCTATGAGCAGTGTAAGCCTGTTTCAGTGACACCACAGAGTAATGATTTTGAATATACAGCGAAAATTAGGACACTAGCTGAAACGGAGCGATTTTTTGATGAACTTACGAAAGAAAAAGACCAGGTAAAACAAACAAAAATTTAAAAATCTTTTTCTGAACTTATGCTTATGTCTGAAAAGTAGTTAGAAGAGGGTTGTTGAGTTAAACCTGTCCCAGGATGGGGCCATGAGGCCCAAAGCTGCAACAGAAATTCACAAGCCCAGTTGTCCTTGCAACAGATGACAGAGGGAACTAGGTGAAGCCAAAACGAACAAGAAAATACTGAGCTGAAATCTTTTCTTTCCAGTCTGTGTCATAACCCTCCCTGCGGGTAGTTCGAATTCTTTTGTTTTTATTTAAATTTGTTTTTGCCCTTTTTAACAGATTGAGGCAGCCCTAAGCCGAATGCCTTCTCCTGGAGGAAGAGTCACGCTGCAGACGAGATTGAACCAGGTGAAGAAATGCTGTAGCTTGGGTCTGCTGTAGGGCTTGGTGCCGGTCAGCATCCTTTCATCCAGGGGGGCTGTAAAGTCATGGTGCGCTGCTTAGAAGCAGAACTAAGGCTGCCTGGGGTCAGAACCTTTGTAGGAGGCTTTGGTGGTTGTAGTTATTTCATGACTGTATGCTAGTCTGCAGGAATAAAAACTACTTTTTATTTTTTGGTACTGGGGATCGAATTGAGCCTGCGAGGAAGGGGCCGGCACCACTGAGCTAAATCCCCAGTCCAACATTGTGGTGTGTCTTTTTTTTTTTCTAACTTTACCTTTAGACTTCAACAAGATGATGTTCATGTCATTGTAATTTGAGAGAAAATGGCAGTATGTTTTTCTTTTTCTTTTGCTTTTTTTTTTTTTTTTGTACCAGGGATTGAACTCAGGTCCTTGTACTTGCAAGTCAGGTGGTGGCTCCAACCCCGGCCCTGTTTTTCTTTCTTGTGTGTTTTATTTTTGTTTTGCCATGCCTAGGGATTAAACCAGGGCCTTGTAAAGATAGACAAGTGCTCCCCGTGGAGCAGCATAGCCCTCATCCACAATGAACCTTTGAACAGATTGCAGATTGTTTGTTTGTTTGTGTTCTTTGAGATTCGGTCCAGGCTGGCCTTGAACTCTTGGCAGTCCTCTTGCTTCAGCTTCCTGAGTGCTGGAATTCCAGTCATGCAGCTAGATTGTACATTGTTAAATTCATGCTCGTGTTGTCTTTTTGTTGTTTGCTGATTTTTTTTTTTTTTTTTTTTTTTTTTTTGGGGGGGTTGGGTTT